AAAAAAAGAATGCTGTGTTTGAGCCGGGAGGTGGTGGTGTATGCCTTTAATCCCAGCACTCGGAAGGCAGAAGCAGGCAGATGATCTCTGTGAGTTCAAGGTCAGTCTGGGCTACCAAGTGAGTTCCAGGACAGGCTCCAAAGATACACAGAGAAACCCTGTCTCAAAATAAATAAATAAAAATAAATAAATAAATAAATAAATAAATAAATGTATTATGTTGTGTTTGGAGGGAGGAAGATAGATGATAAATAAATCTTGAAAGTACAAAGTGGAAGTGGAAGAGGCTGGAGACATGGCTCAGTGGTTAAGAGCACTGGCTGCTCTTCCAGGTTCCCAGTATCCTCATGGTGGCTCCTAACTTTCTGTAACTCCAGTTCCAGGGGATATGGTGATATTTTGTTTGTGATCTAACAAATAAAGCCTGCCTGAAGATCAGAGTGTGGAGCTAAGCCACTAGTTAGCCATAGAGGCCAGGCAGTGGTAACACATACCTTTGATCCCAGTACTTGAGATCTCACGCCTTTAATCCCAGCACTAGGGAGGTGGAGACAGGAAGTGATATGGCTGTGCAGAGAGAGGAATATAAGGTGGGAGGAGACAGGAGCTCAGATCCCATTCAGGCTGAGGATTCCCTAGAGGTAAATCTTTCTAGTGGCTGCCGCTCTGCTTCTCTGTTCTTTCAGCTTTCACCCTGATATCTGACTCCGAGTTTTTATTATCAAGACCAATTAGGATTCGTGCTACAAGGAAATCTGTCTGGCCTCCCATATGCACCAGACACACACATGGTACACAGACATACATAAAGGCAAAACACCCATACATGAAAGATAGATAGATAGATAGATAGATAGATAGATAGATAGATAGATAGATATGTTTATGTGTATATGTATATATTTATTTAAACATATACAAATACATATGTATATCTTTATTTTATATAGCTATAATGTAATGGAAAACAAAATGTTAATTTTTCTTCTTTTCTAAACATGATTGGCCAAAGAGCCCTAATGCTGGGAAACAAGCTCTGAGACCTGAGTCGGAATAAAAATGCTAAGCACTTGCAATTTGTTAAAGCAACAGCATGGAACCAGAGCTGATCTGTCTTCAGCCTGTCACTGGTGGACCCTGCCCTCCCACCTTGCGTGCAGACAGAGATAGAAAATGCCTGGCAGATGGAGACATTGTCACTGGTATCCCTCGTAGGCCAGGTCCAGCTGTTCCTCGGGGACATTGGATCTCAGCAGTGGGGAGAGGGGTAGGGTCTTTTCTACCTTTAGAGATGGCATCTCATTCTGTGGCCCGGGCTGGTCTTAAACTCACGGTAATCCTTCTGCCTCAGTCTCCCAAGTGCCAAGGTGGTGAGCACAGGTGCCCGACTGTTCCGTGTGCTTTACATAGAGGCAGGAGATACACAGAGTGCTGGACCAGCGTCCATTCAGCCAGCTAGTGTTGCTAGAGCACCCAGCGCTGATGTGAGCTGCCTCGGGCATTAGGGATACTGCAGGAAATCCCCCTCCCTTACAGAGGCACTGGTGTAATTAGTTCAAGGCTATGCCCCAGTGTAGAGAACGGTCTAAGGGTGCCAGACTGTTCCTTCCCTGGGCCCTAGAAGAGGCAGGAAAGCTTGTAAGGCATAGGGGTAGTTGAAGAAATGACTGTGAGTCTTTGGATGACTCTGTTGCTGTCTTTCTTGCTTCTGTAACAGGCCTGCTAACGCTTCCATCAGCTTCCTGATGGAAGAGACTCAGCTCCGGAATGAGTAGGAGCCTGGGGCTGAGAGCAGAAACTCGGGCCAGGTGCCAGGTTAATACCGGTACAGTTGGAGACTGTAGAAGGAACCCTAGAGAAGACAGTTGAAGGGCCACGGGCGGTCCTGTCTCCACCACCCCCACCCCACCCAGGCCAGCACCTAGGGATAGGAGGTGGAGTTAGATGAGCCCTGACGTCAGTCTCACCTGAGCTGGCGCCTCAGAGCTGATTGCCTCCAATCGTTGGGGCCTTCATCTTTTACACAGGGTTAATAACAGCAGTGCTCTGTGAGGATCAGTCTGGTAGCCCATATGATGTGTGTGCGGGTCTGTAGAGACAGCCAGCAGGTGGGTATCATTTCTCAGGGTGCAGGAAGAGGCAGCAGCTTCCTGTAGAGCAAAAGCCGTCAGGTGATACCAAGTGCATGAGGCTTCCATGCTGGCTTGTTTAAAATGAGGTAGATGACGGCTGGGTGGCGTTGGCCTTTAATCCCAGCACTCCAGGAAGCAGAGGCATGTGGGTCTCTGTGAGTTCGAGGCCAGCCTGATCTACAGAGCAAGATCCAGGACAGGCACCAAAACTACACAGAGAAACCCTGTCCCGAAAAAACTAAAAAAAATGAGGTAGATGACTACGTGTTTGAGGGACAAGAGACATACAAAATGCCTGAAAGATGCTATGAAGCCCTGCCCTAAAGTCACAGCCTAGGAAGTTGAGTTCATAGGACAGTGTGGATATTGGGGAAGTGACACTGTACGAGCAGCCTTTTTTCTTTGATAGCCTTCCATCTGCCAAGCCAACAGAACCCCCACGTGAAAATAAGTGATCCTCAGCCTTCCTAAGGCTGCTACTCTTTAATACTTACCCCCAGCCGTAAAATTACCTTCATTACTACTTCATAACTGTATTTTTGCTGCTGTTATGAATCGTCATGTAAACATCTGTGTTTTCCAGTGGTCTTAGGTGACCCCTGTGAAAGGGTCGTTGGACCCTAAGGGGTCATGTCCCCCATGTTGAGAAACACTGATCTAGATGCTTTTCTAGTCTCTGCTTCTTTATGTTGGACTGAAAATACGTCTAATGTAAACTAGAGTCACTGGTATAAAATTATACTTTATCTCATGTCTTCATTTCTAATAAGTACAGCTTACTGACTTGCCTTCAGAGCAGCGGCTGGCATTCCTCAGCGCAGTCTGTTTCGGGGAGAAGGCACACTGTGAGCTGAGCGGTTTGTGACAGTCCCATTATGGCCTGTGACAGAACCAGCCCAGCCTCCTGGAAGTGCCCTTTGCTATCTCCCTGCTACAACTTACTTACCAGTCTTAATGAAAACGTTTGCAGCCTTACCTGGGACTTAACTTATTTATAGGTAGT